CACTCACTCACACACACACACACTCACTCTCTCACACACACACTCTCTCTCTCACACACTCTCTCACACTGAGACACACACACTCACTCACTCACACACAGGCAGGTCGCGGGCATCTCTCTCTGCACAATTAGCGGCTGATGTTCTTATTAAAGGCTGATTTGTGCTGCTGAAGGACTGCAGAGCTCCGTCTGTGCTCGTCAGCTCCTGATGCGCTCGGCTGCAGCCGCGTCACGATCCGCTCGCGGGGGTCTCCGCCGCTCCTGCCCAACTGTGAAAGCTCTCAATTATCCGCGTCTGACTAACCGGCCGCTGCTGCTCCGAGGTCATGATCTCAACAGCTGCATGCGTGTGTGTTTCAGCAGAGCACCGACTGAAGATCTGCCGAAATCCCCTTCGCTCTCTGCAGCGTTTTGCACATTTGCTTGTCGCTTCGACACTCTTCCTTCTGTTCGTGTTTTCGCGTTTGACGCGTCAGACCACCGGGTTTCTGTTTTTGCAGTTTTTTTTTCTTCTGAATTCCTACTCTTGCAAGCACGTCCAGTTCAATTAAAACTCTGAGAAAACGAATTCCTCCGTCTGCAAATTAGCATGTGTGGTCGCTCTAGAAAACACTCTTCACTGGACGATCAGCACACGGACTGGTTTGCTGTAAAAACACTGGAAACTCTGTTTTTCTGGTGGAGTTTCCAGTGATAGGCAGCTCTATCTGAACAGGCAGCGCTTGAATAGGTGGATTACAGCGGAGCCGCTCAAAGGGCCGTCACTCTGCATCTCTTTGCATCTGAATGCTGCTCTGTGTGTGTCTCGGGCTTCGAGCGGCTCAGCAGACTGAAGACATGGCGCTGAAGCTCTTCTGTAAATGTATTTGCTCTAAACAACACACGGATCCAAGATTCCCGCGCCTGTAACGCCAAGAGAAACATTCGTCTGTTTTCACTCGTTGAGCTTCTTTGACTGATTGCAGAAGTAAAATCTGCAGCAAACGAAGGCCGAGGAGCGTGACTGGCATTGGAGAGGATGGAATGGCATGGAAGTGACTTTATTAAAGTTCTGCAGGAGTAATGGAGTGCTTTTGCAGCAGTTACTGTGAGATTGACGCGTCCAGCGTGACTGAGGTCAAGTGGATGGCTGTTTGTGTTAGTGGGGGTGTTGTTTGATGGGGCTGCTGGGATAGGAAGCCTGTGATAGGGGTCAAAGGTCAATTGCAGTCCAGCGAGAAGCTCTCAGTCCTCAGTGCACACGTCTCATTGCCTCGTGTTTTTGATTTTGCATAAATTATTCTGTTATTTTCCTGTTTATTTGAAGCACTACAGACATGAAAGTGACGTGCAGCTGAGAGCAGGATGACTGTTTATCAGTGACTCTGACTGTGTTTTCTCTCGTCCTCCTGCAGGCTGATGTCGCAGTCGCCACAGGAAACGGGGTTAATCGCCATAGCAGCTCGTCAGACACAGGGCAAAGGTCAGCGGGTTTCCATCGGCTCTCACACAGCCGCATTAACTCTGGTTTAACATGTAAACGAGAGGGTCATTATTGATGCTGTGCTGCAGGCCGCGGGGGGAACGCCTGGCTGAGTCCGCTGGGATGCGCCATGTTCACGCTCCACCTGCAGCTTCCTGTGGACTCACGGCTCGGACAGAGGATCCCCTTCCTGCAGCACCTCGCCGCCCTCGCCGTGGTGGAGTCTGTGCGCACGCTGCCCGGATACGAGGTGCACACACACGTGATTGTGTCTGCTCCACTGAAGTGTGTGTGAGAGTGTGTGTGGGATGCAGAGGAAGTACTTTAAATAAATTTCAGGAGAAATGTTGAACTGAGAAATAGAGGTGTCGAAATTAATCGTTTCTAAGATGCATCGCGATGCAGACGAGGACGATTCGGTATCGATTCAGTAATAGACCATTATAGCACAGCCGCGTCCGCACAGCTTTCTAAGTATACTCAACCGCGCTCACGACACATGCACAGTACCACATACTTGACTTGCGCTCTCTCTCAACATTCACCTCACGCATACGCTGTTGTACGTGCATCGTCCGCGCGGTCTCAAATTGCAAAGCAATCTCTTCCACAAGCATTAGGGGTGTGCGATATATGTCGTCTGCAGTAATATCGTCATTGTTGTTTTAACGTGTGTATATATATATATATAAAATGTGTGTGTATATATATTTTATTTCATATAGTTAATATCACGCAAAAAGAGCCGTTTTTTCTCCAAAAATCAGCATGATTACAAATGTGATATTGATTTTATACAACAGTTCAATAAACAAGTTAATATTAAAGAGCAGGTCATAGGGGTTTTTGAAAAATATCTCTTTTGCAGTTTATAACGTAGCTATCCTTAAATGAAAACAATCTGCAAAGATGTTAATCAGAAAAGTGCATGATAAATAAAGATATTGTCTCTCAAAAAGAGAGGTCGGTTCTGAATCTTCTTAACGAGTCGTCATGTTTTCTAATCTTTTGCCCGTTACCGGTATACATCACTGGGTAACACATTTGCATAATCCCGCCTGCCCACAAACACTTCCGCTGGTTATGTGTTTACATCATGTTGAGAAGACGCTGTGTTCAAGGATACCACAGAAATACAATTCCAACCTTTTGTTGTGTGCATGTCATTTTTATCAAGGACTGCTTCTCTAATCTTGATTTTTATCTTCGTTAGCTTCTAATCTTCTTAATTTGGACTAACAAGCTCTCCGAACAACAACCTGTAATTACGATTGAAACGTTATGTGTACATTTTCAATTGAGTGCTCGAAATAATCAAGTTTTTGTGCTAATATGTGATGTATAGCTAGTGCAGCTTTAGGTTAAGCACGATATTACTGTCTTACTGAAGTACAGGTGCATCTCAATAAATTAGAATGTCGTGGAAAAGTTCATTTATTTCAGTAATTCAACTCAAATTGTGAAACTCGTGTATTTAATAAATTCAATGCACACAGACTGAAGTAGTTTAAGTCTTTGGTTCTTTTAATTGTGATGATTTTGGCTCACATTTAACAAAAACCCACCAATTCACTACCTCAACAAATTAGAATATGGTGACATGCCAATCAGCTAATCAACTCAAAACACCTGCAAAGGTTTCCTGAGCCTTCAAAATGGCCTCTCAGTTTGGTTCACTAGGCTACACAAGCATGGGGAAGACTGCTGATCTGACAGTTGTCCAGAAGACAATCACTGACACCCTTCACAAGGAGGGTAAGCCACAAACATTAATTGCCAAAGAAGCTGGCTGTTCACAGAGTGCGGTATCCAAGCATGTTAACAAAGTTGAGTGGAAGGAAAAAGTGTGGAAGAAAAAGAGGCACAACCAGCCAAGAGAACCGCAGCCTTATGAGGATTGTCAAGCAAAATAGATTCAAGAATTTGAGTGAACTTCACAAGGAATGGACTGAGGCTGGGGTCAAGGCATCAAGAGCCACCACACACAGACGTGTCAAGGAATTTGGCTACAGTTGTCGTATTCCTCTTGTTAAGCCACTCCTGAACCACAGACAACGTCAGAGGCGTCTTACCTGGGCTAAGGAGAAGAAGAACTGGACTGTTGCCCAGTGGTCCAAAGTCCTCTTTTCAGATGAGAGCAAGTTTTGTATTTCATTTGGAAACCAAGGCCCTAGAGTCTGGAGGAAGGGTGGAGAAGCTCATAGCCCAAGTTGCTTGAAGTCCAGTGTTAAGTTTCCACAGTCTGTGATGATTTGGGGTGCAATGTCATCTGCTGGTGTTGGTCCATTGTGTTTTTTGAAAACCAACGTCACTGCACCCGTTTACCAAGAAATTTTGGAGCACTTCATGCTTCCTTCTGCTGACCAGCTTTTTGAAGATGCTGATTTCATTTTCCAGCAGGATTTGGCACCTGCCCACACTGCCAAAAGCACCAAAAGTTGGTTAAATGACCATGGTGTTGGTGTGCTTGACTGGCCAGCAAACTCACCAGACCTGAACCCCATAGAGAATCTATGGGGTATTGTCAAGAGGAAAATGAGAAACAAGAGACCAAAAAATGCAGATGAGCTGAAGGCCACTGTCAAAGAAACCTGGGCTTCCATACCACCTCAGCAGTGCCACAAACTGATCACCTCCATGCCACGCCGAATTGAGGCAGTAATTAAAGCAATGTAGACTGACGTTCTAATCGCTTTGTTTAATAATAAAGAATGTAGTGTAGCGCACAGACTTTATAATCCTTGTGAAACTGCTGTTTATTTTGCTGCATGGCGGTTCTAGGGTTAATGCAGGAGAGACGAGAGAGTTAGTTAGGCTGCTGCGCCGGTGATACAGCTGTTCTGATTAAAAGCACTCGGCTAACGTATCCACCATTATTGTTTTAAGTGTTCACAGTTTAGCAGCTAAACTTTAGCTGTGGGCACGATTCGCTTGCATAAGTGTTTTGTATTTTGTAAGAACAGATTGGAGCATTATTGTTTTATGTAAAGGTGCTTTGCCGGTAGCGCTGGCTAACTTGCTCAAGGACTCCTCTCTGTGCCAATCACAGCAGGCTTGGCCAGCTGACCAATCAGAGCAGAGTAGGCTAATGGAAGGGCGGGGTTTGTGCCGAACATGCTTGGAACGAATCGTTTAGAAATCATTGGCAAATGACTCCTAATATTAAATGTATATTCTGAGAAAATGACAGTTGTTTTTTTTTACCTTAGATGCATTTAAACCTGTTGTAGAGGACTCCGACACAATATTAGGACACTTTAAAATACCACACGACCTGTTCTTTAAGAGACTTAGATTTTTTTTGCCCCTGACTGCTGATCGTTTTTGCTCTTTCGCCTACAAAAATAATTCCAAACAGAACCACAGCACTGTTCTGCGTCTCTAAACTACATGGCGTGTTTCGTTCCTGAATGAATCAACCGTTTAAATGATTCGGTCTAATCGCAATGACTCGCTTATTAACAGTGACTTGCTGCCACCTACTGGCGGTTTTCATTTCACATTCAAAGTATCTTTCATTTCAAAAAGCTAAATATTATTTATGCATGTGTAATTGCAGGTTAAATGCATTCATGTCCTGCATTAAACAGTGTGTAAATATATCTAAATGCCTCTTCAGACGCAGCTTCTGTGTTTCCTCTGCGCTGCAAAGATTCATTCTGTTGATTAGCTAGTTCTATCACTGCTGTGAACTGACCAGCACACAGAATATGAAGAATATCAAAAACATTAGATGTTCATGCGTCCTCCATAAGCAGCAGCTCATCTGTCATCTGCACCTCCTGCTTCAGGCTCGTCTTGATGAAGTGAAACTGTTCCTCTGAGCGTCGCTAAACGCTCTGAGATCTTTCACCTCATTACAAACCCATTCATCGCCTCCCACTTTCTCACATTCGCAGCGATCGGTCTTATTGAATCACTGCTACGGTTCTTCAGGTGTCAGTGCTCGGCTGGACGCAGTTATCCATGAAAGCGTTTTTAAACTGATGAGGCCGAGTAAACGCGCGCTCAGCCTTTAGAAATCATTACGCAAATAGCTCACCTCCGATCCATAAACGCCACATCCACAATATCCTGTTAAACAATTTCAGCTGCGGGGTCATGAAGGTCAAACCAAATCTAGCATCTATAATATTGGCTGCATCACTCCAGCCCGCTGGCTCTTCTTCAGCAAACACACCGAGCGAGTGTGAAGCCTCTGCAGGAGCAGCAGTAGATGTGCCTCGGAGCTGTTCTCAGATGGAGTCGCAGATGAAAGTTCCTGCACTAACAACAGTCTCGCGGCCTGGAGAACAGTCAGAATGACACACAACACGCTCACATGTCACCTCATGTTTATTGAGATTCTAAGCAAACTACCTCCAGTCGTTTTAGTAACACCCATATGTTAGTCTCTTGGTTTGCACCATAAATAATCGAGCTGCACAATGGTCGAGCAATATAAATATGCCCATTATAGCAGCTAAATACCATGTTGGACACAAGAGTGACTGGTTAGGATTGGTTGTTAAACAAGAGAAAACTGGACCAGCACCCTTTAAATGGTCGTTTTCCAAAATTGTTCATAGAAATTATTTTGCAGATCAATCGGTGTCATTCCCGCTCATGCAGACAGTTCTCATTTAAAGCTGAAGTGTGTGTGCAGATTCACTGTAAGTTTGAAGAGTGAAGCTGATCAGAACATTGACCTTCTGACTCAACCAATCACAGCGTCTGGGGCGGGACTATCTGTCTGACTGACCAATGGCAGGTGTGCAGGGTGTAATTCAGTTGGGTCTCATAGAATTTACACACTTTTCCATTAAAAGGTGCAGCAAGCGGGTGTGTTGGGCTTGAAGCGGCTGATGTGATGTTATGAGTTGCCAAACTGAATTGTGGATCCGTTGCGTCGCGTCATTGCCGTTGCTTGTGGCAGAAGTTGAAAATTTTTCAATTTTAAGCACCAACGCAGGCGTCGGCCAATCAGATCGCCTATGCAAATACTCTAGAGCAGACACTAGCCAAAGACGTTCATGGAACACCGGAAAAGTAATGTGAATGGCTGTTGTCACTATGACGATGGCTTCAGACACATGTGTATGTACCGTAATCGCTTTCACGGTACTTTGATGTCATACACTGTTCGGTCTGCACAGCTCCGCTTCACGTCGAACACACAGTGATTTCTGAGAAACGCTGTTGATATTTGAAATCACCAAAACAAACACCCCTAAACTGATAGCTCCGCCCCCAAATTCATAAGCATGCTATGCACCTCCCCCAGCTTGAGTGGACACGCCCCTTACTGCTGATTGGCTACAAGTGTATTTTGGTGCTCTGTCCGATCCACTTTCAACAGCGTTTCTCAGAAATCGCATACTGCAGCTTTAAGTGCTTATATCTTTACAGAAATCCTCTGCTGAAACATTTGCTTTCTTTTTGCTATGGCTAAATTAGATGAAATATTTTAATTTTGTAAATGTTGGCACAAAAACACGTGGATGGTTATGTCTTGCATATCTGAGTTTAGTGAACAATAATGTGCAGCAAATATAAGGTTCATGTGGAGACCCTGAATGCCTGAAA